CAGAAAATGAGTTTGGACATTTTCCTTCCATTTCTATTTTTTTGGAACAGTTTCTGTAGAATAGGTAATAATTCTTATAATGTTTGGTAGAATTCTCCTGGAAAGCCATCTGGCCCTGGGCTCTTGTTTGTGGTGAGATTTTTGAGGACTGCTTCAATGTCCTTACTGGTTATGGGTCTGTTCAGGTTTTCTATTTCTTCCTGGTTCTGTTGTGGTAGTTTATATGTCTCTAGGAATGCATCCATTTCTTCCAGATTGTCAAATTTGCTGGCATATAGTTGCTCATAATATGTTCTTATAATTGTTTGTATTTCTTTGGTGTTGGTTGTGATTGCTCCCCTTTCATTCATGATCTTATTTATTTGGGTCCTTTCTCTTTTCTTTCTGACAAGTCTGGCTGGGGGTTTATCAATCTTATTAATTCTTTCAAAGAACCAGCTGCTAGGTTTGTTGATTTGTTCTACTGTTTTTTTGGTTTCTATTTCATTAATTTCTGGTCTGATCTTTATTATTTCTCTTCTCCTGGGGGTTTAGGTTTTCTTTCTTGTTCTTTCTCCAGCTCCTTTAGGTGTCAGGCTATGTTGTGTATTTGAGACCTTTCTTGTTTCTTAAGAAAGGCTTGTATCATTATATATTTAAGGATGAAATTTTTATAAAAATTATTATGGACATTGGGGATGGTATGTGCTATGAAGGGTGCTGTGAAATGTGTAAGCCTGATGATTCACAGACCTGTACCCCTCGGGGAAATAATTCATTATACATTAATAAAAAATACTTAAATAAAATTAAATCAAACAATCCCTATAAGATGCAAGCTCATATTACAGTACCTAAATGATATAAACTTGTCTGTTATAATTACAAGTATTTTATAACAAAGGACTAAGTGACAGTCCTTAACTTGTATAAAGTGAGAAATTCCTAATTGTAACAGCAAACGTGTCTTGAAGCCAATATGTGTACTGGCCAAGGTTTATTATGAGAAGAACCCACTGTTCTACCTTATTGAGAAGAATAATAGACCATGTGTGGAGATAGCAGGACTGAGTTATGCTATCATATCAATGCTTTGAAGATAAAGATACCCTTTCCAGGTGGCCACTGGATCATAGACTTGGAGAAAATTATAACTTGAAGCTGAGGTAAGATGCTAGAAGATTCACATATCATGAAGGAGGCAAGTTCAGGAAAAAGGACACTAGAAAAGAAAAGAAAACTGACTTAACTTGACCTCTAATCTAGTCTTTTGGGAACTGAGATTCATTGGAAAAATCACCTTTCTGTCCAGAGGACTTTCCCACTGGGGAATCATGTGCTTAGAGCTTGGAGTCACAAGAGGGAAGTGTGGCTAATGAGCAGACACAGGGAGTTGTAAATACCTTCCCATCTCCAGTATGCCAGCCCTGGCAACCTTGGATAGGAAAGGCCATGATTCTTGTTTGTTTGTTCTGAGTCCTTATTCTGACTGGAGGCTGATGTTTCACCCATTCCTGCTGCCTCAGCTGAGGAGAGATCTTGAGTCCCTATCATCTGTCATCCAGGGAGGAATTCAGACTTCCACAAGGACACCTTCCTGTCACACACCCCAACCAGGTGAGTCCAGCATCCCAGTGGACAATGGATGACAGGCTCAGAGAGAATGGAAGCCGAGAACACTGACCCATCACCATGTGAGAGCCAATTCAACTTAGCCCAGAACTGATCACTGTATTTGTCTGTTTGCTTGATTAAGTAATTAATGTATTAGTGCTAATGTCAATTTCACAGAGTGATTGCTGCTCACACTTTTGAAGGTCTTTCATATTCTTTATTATTAATCTGCTAATATAGCAATGCTAGATAAACTATGCTGAGACTGTTACACTAAATGTGTGGTTCTAATTGGGTATGATTTTGTCCTTTGTGGGTCATTGATCCCTGCCTGGAGCGAGCTTTGCCTGTAACACTGGAGAAGGTGTGTGGAGGACAGGAATGCCTAAACATCCCACAGTGCACAGGAAACACCCCACCCAGGGCAGGCTTTGAGCAGAATGCCCATGTGCAAAGACAGAGAAACCCTGAGGTAAAGAATATCAGTATTTGGATCACAACTATCTTCAGGTTCTGCCTTCAAGCTTGTAACACTTACTTTTCTGCCAGCAAATTCACAGTAACCACTTAGCTACCAGTTTAAAAGTTTTAGCCACAGTGGTATACCTGGGTGGCTCAGATGGTTAAGCATATGCCTTCAACTCAGGTAATGATCTCTAGGTCCTGGGATCCAGAGCCACAGAGGGCTTTCAGCTCAGCAGACAGTCAGCTTCTCCCTTTTGCTCTTCCTGTCCACAGGCTCATTCTCTCTCTGTCTCTTAGATGAATAAATGAGATCTTTAAAATAAAATTAGTTTCAACCACAAACAATGCAACAGCACTGTAATTTTTTCCCCACAGGCTGCTGGTGATAAAGATGTTTCTTGTTTTCTTAAAGTGTCCTTCGGGTTCAGCAAACTTCATATATTTGATAGCTATTCTGATTGACCTTTATCATTAGATGCCCATATGTTATTTCTCTCTGTGTTTTTATTTTTAAAACATTATCAGCATTTCAAATTATTTCCTCTGATCATTGTTTCTCAATTGACATTTGGAACATATTTTGACCATTTAATCTTTACATATTATGTAAATATGTCTATCTTCTTACTTCTGAATTTCTTGCTTTATTTAGTGGTGTTGCCCATCTGTAACTTTTATATGTAGTTTTATTGATGTTCTACTGTATTGTTTGGTTACACTTACCCTGAGGTCATAAGCCTTGTGGTTTTTTGTAAGGTGTGAAGGAGGGGACAGATTTCATATTCTTCCAGACAGATATTCCTTTATGCCACCATTCTTTTAGAAATTCCACCTTTTCCAAAGAAATTGAAATACAACTTTGCCACATGGTAAATATCCTTATACACTGAGACCTAATTTCTAACTCATTTAACAAATAAATACTGAGCATTATAGGAACATTATATATTATATTCTTTTGTATCTAGGACTTAGACAAGTTAATTATTGATCCATATTGATATCATTAAAAATTGCTATTTTATATCCTGTTTTAGTTCATTTTGGTTTTTCATGCAATTTTGCCTAGAACAGGTGTTTTGAAATGGCTCAATTTACATTTTAACCTGGTTTTGTGATCCCTTCATTCTGTTAATTCTAAACCTACCCACATTCTTAGGGATTTTTATAGGAAACACATATATTCATAAAACTTGGTGAAAAAAAAAATGAACAAAGAAGGTGAAGTCCCTGCACTTTTGAATCATGAACCATCACAATGAGGACAGAACTTAATGAAATAAATGTGTGTATGAAATGATATCCACAGACAAAATGATATGAAGAAAATTATTGAGTACAAAAAGAATTGTCATGGTGTGGACAGGATTGTAGAGTGTGGTCTGTGGACCCACTTGCACATTGGGTGAAATCCAGAATGATGATTAGAGTGAGCCCACTAGTTTGAAAAAGAGAGATGTATACCCAAAGCTCAAGAATATCAAGAAAATATGCCCCATAGAGAAGGGAGAAAGGGACTAACCCCATCCCCTATCAGACCACATAGAAATAAACTGGCCAGAAATTATGTAAGAGGTGAAAAATAAGTCTTCTATGCTTGATATAAAAGCGCCCAACTTTCATTGTGTTATGTATACTTCGTTTTGTGGAGTGTTTGTTTAACCCATTGCTCAATTTCGAGAAAAAATATATATATACATACCCACACATACATATATATGTATATATGCATTTAGGCATATTTTTTATTACTTTTCAGCGTAACAGAATTCATTGTTTATGCATGTATTTTAATATTTAAATATATTATTTATCCATGGGAGGCTTATACTATTTATCCATGGGAGGCAAAACACTCTGCGTTTTGCAGGGGAAAGTTCACTGATATGGCCTATGTGGGTCGAATTCATTCCTGGCACAATCGAGATGGCAGGGACAGAGAAAGACAAGGGACTAACACAAGCCAGGAGAGGATGGTGGTGTGTGTGTGTGTGTGTGTGTGTGTGTGCGTGTAACTTGTAGAGTATGAACTGTCCCCACAACAAGGTGCCAGGACTCATAACTCCCAAAGTGACACAACACAAGGGCCAGCATTCAATCAAGAGAGGCCACTAAGAAGAGAATCTGGTTCAATTCATGAGATGCCTTTGCAACACGATGAATACAGTGGGAGAGGCAGTGGGGACAAGAAAGTCCCTGTGCCTTGAAGTTTCAGAGGTAAAAGAGAGGTCACTTCTGTGTGTCTCCTCAGTGTGTCTGAGGACTTCTCTCCTCAGGCTCCCTCCTGCTCATTCCCCTTGTAGCACTGGCTTCGCTTTTTGACTTGAGCAGTTAGGAACAAGTACCATCCTCAAGGCCTTTGCACTGGCCATTACCTCTTCCAGGTACACACTTCCTCCATAATCCTAGATCTGCCTCCATCTCTTAATTGAGATTTTTGTAGCAATGTCACCTTGTTAACGGAATTGGCTTATATACCCATGAAAATAGCATGCCCTATTCACTCTCTGCTTTATCCCTGTTTTCCTTTTCTTCATACCATCTGCCACTCTCTGAAAGGCTATTTATTTTCTTATTTGTTAATGTATCCCTTCTCCATTATTGAGTGATAGGGAATTTTTTGTCCTTAGCACCCTATACTCATCACCTAGAAAAATGCTTAAATCATGGCCAGGACTTAATTTGCATTTCTGGGATTTGAAATAATTTTTTACTTGAAAGTGGAATACATGGCCTTTTGTAAATTAAGTGATTGGAAGAAAAATTCCATAATTATTGTGGTGCAGGGGATCCTCTGAATTGGACCATAACCATGTGCAAAATATTAAAATGAATATTTAGACTACAAAATTAAAAAGGTAACATTTTAAATCTGTGAGCAATACAAGCACATGAAAATTAATCAAGCTGTTTGCCTCTGTCCTTGAAGTCACTTCTACCACATGAAACCCAGCAATGATACACAAATTTCAGAGTTTCTTCTTCTGGGATTTTCAGAGGAACCAGAACTGCAACCCTTCATATTTGGGCTTTTCCTCTCCATGTACCTGATCACAGTGGTTGGAAACCTGCTCATCATCCTGACCGTCTGCTCTGACTCCCACCTCCACACTCCCATGTACTTCTTCCTGGCCAACCTGTCCTTTGTAGACATCTTTTCCACTTCCACCACTGTCCTTAAGATGCTGATGAATATACAGACAGAAAGTAAAGTCATAACCTTTGCAGGCTGTGTCACACAGATTTATTTTTTCATACTCTTTGCTGTGTTGGACGTCTTTATCCTGAGTGTGATGGCCTATGATCGCTTTGTGGCCATCTGTCACCCCCTACACTACACAGTCATCATGAACCCCCGGTTCTGTGGACTGCTGGTTCTGTTGTCCTGGATCATGTGCATCCTGAATTCCTTGTTGCAAAGTTTAATGATGTTGCGACTTTCCTTCTGTACACAGGTGAAAATCCCTCACTTTTTTTGTGAACTCAATGAGATGGTCCAACTTGCCTGTTCTGATACCTTCCTTAATAATTTGGTGATGTATTTTGCAGCTGTCCTGCTGGGTGGTGGTCCTTTTGCTGGGATCCTTTACTCTTATTCTAAAATTGTTTCCTCCATACGTAGAATATCATCAGCTAGGGGCAAGTATAAAGCATTTTCCACCTGTGCATCTCACCTTTCTGTTGTCTCATTATTTTATTGTACAATGCTAGGTGTGTATCTTAGCTCTGCTGCTACCCAGAGCTCCCACGCAAGTGCAGTGGCCTCAGTGATGTACACGGTGGTCACACCCATGCTGAACCCCTTCATCTACAGCCTGAGGAACAAAGATATAAAGAGGGCTCTGAAAACATTCTTTTTGAGGGAGATTCTACATGGTCAATTGTCGTAAGACAGAACAAGTTCCTAAGATTGCTTAAGCTTAGTTTCATGAGCAAAATTTTATTGGATAAATGTTTGTATCCAGTTTCTAATGCTAATGTAAAATGACTACATTAGTGTTTAAAACACATTTATGCTCTGACAAATGCAGGGGTTCAGAAGCCTGAAATGATTCTCACTGGGCTAAAAAAAAAAAAATTGCAAGTCTTGGTGCATTCTGGACGATACAAGGAAGAATCTGTTTACTTTTTTATTCCAAAATAATTAAAATAGTGCAAAAATTCTAAATATATTTCTTATAAATATATTTATAAGAAATATAAGCTTCACACTAAGGGACCAAATGATAGCTCTTAATTTACAAGTGTGAAATTCCTAATCATTTGGCAAATGTGTCAGAAAGCTGAGGTATGTTTGGCTCAAGGTTTTTCATTTGTTTATTTGTTTGGTTTTTAAAATTATTGTATTTATTTGTCAGAGAGAGAGAGAGAGCATGCACAAGCCAGAGGAGAGGTAGGCAGAGAGAGAAGCAGGCTCACACTGAGTAAGGATCCTGGAACTCAATCCCAGTATCCTGGGATCATGGCCTGAGCTGGAGACAGATGCCTAATGGATTGAACCACCCAGGCATCCCTTGCTCAAGGTTTATATCAAAAAAGCTTAGTTCTCCCCATTGAAAAGGAAAACAGAGATATTCTATAGATGGCCGGGCTGTGTGTCCACCACAAGTCAACAATTTGGAGATCCAAGGGATCTCATCCAGACACATTGTTCAGTCCTAGGCTTTGTGGAAAAGTTGAAGTCAGGGTTGGGATAAGGTGCTGGAAGGTCCAACCTCTGGAAGCAGCAAAGCTCCTGAGGAAGGTGTAATTAACTCTGGATTCACTTGGTTATAACCTGGTCTGTGGGGAACACACAATCTCCAGGACAATTTTCCTTCATGTCCACACCAGTGTCCAATAGGAAACTCATGTTCTTAGAGGTCGGAGGACCAGGAAGGAAACGTGCCTCATAAGCAGACAGAGAAACTCTAAATATACCCAGTGTAGCAATCCCTCTGCCTGTGCCAAATTGGGATGGATAGGGCCTGGTTTTGCCTCTGGAGTCCTAAGCTTGGCTGGGAGACTTATCTCAACCTCCTTCCTGCCATCTTGTCAGGGGACAGAATTTAGTCACCATCATCCTGACACAGGAGGAATTCAGATTGCCACATAGAGACCCCTCCCTCAGAGTTGCCACTCAGGTCAGTCCCACAGCCCAGCAGGTTCTGCAGGCCTGGTGCATTTATCTGAGTTTACCTGACAGCCTCTAGCCTAGCCCAGAACCTAGAGATCTCTATACTCATTTGCTTGCCCAACAAACTGATGAATGGATTCATTGATGATGTTAAAGAAAGAAGTGAATAGTTGCTCAGCAGCACATGGGTGATTGCTGACAATGAAGTGAAGGGATGGGAGGCATAAAGTACTTCCAGTAAAAATAGAACACATTACCAAGTTTTGCAATTAAACAGAGTAAGAATATTAGGTATGGAGGGATGTCCAGTGAAGTCAGGGCATTTCTTTTTTGTCTTTAAAATGGGGCACATTGTACTCTGTTTCCATACTGATGAGAAAGACCTAGACCAATTTATTTCTTTCAGATAAGACCTCTCAACAGTAATTCATGAGACATACATTTTCACAGCATCCCCTGTTCCTCTGGGTATTCATATGAAAACAATTATCTAACAATGAAAACTATATGAAGGAGCTTTGCTTTGCAATGATTTCATCACTAGGGGAGCTGAATATATTTTTGGATTAGTTATTCATTTTTTCTCTACTGTACATTGTCTTTACCAGGTCTTTGTATTTGTACAATGGAGTCTGGGGGGTGGTGGTTATTCCTTTCTTTGATTGCATCCGTTCAAACAAAGAATTAGAGGAGGGTTTTTTATTTGTTTTACCAACTTTGTTGTTTGCATTGAGTTCTAGTATGTATGTATAGATGCATATGTGGGGAATTGTGTTCATTATTAGTATGGACTCAAATCTGTCACTTGGTTATATGGTGTTCTCTTTATTGCATTTTGATATTATCCACCCTGAAATATCAATCTTTCACTAATATTTTTTAATTGGCAGTCCTTGCAATAAACAAAAATGTAAGTAAATGGTACTTTGTACATTGAGTGCTAATAAATCACCTCTATAAGTATTTTTCAATTGTTTATGCATCTCTGTCATTCCCCATGGGTCCTTTTGTCTCTTTGTGATGAGATCCATTTCTAAAAGTTGCACCATCTTTGACTGTTATCTCTTCTTTACCTTTGACTGAAGATTGCATTTACCTTCCTAAGCATATTTCAATCCATGTATCTTTATGTAAGAAAAAATGATCACTTAAAGGGTGCTTACTCCCCAGCTGTAAAGATAATTCACTCATATTATTTTATTCCAAGTCTTTGGACATCTAATATAGAATTAGTTAACCATTTTGACAGTACTGAATTATTATTTTATGTCTTTATCTATGTTAGTTTTAGATTCTCATTGAATTTTGTTTCACACAGTTGTTTTGAAAACAGTATACTTGACATAATTTCATTCCTCCTGACAATCCTTATTCTTTAAATTCTTTGTTTCATTAAAACTTCTCTTCCTAGATTATGTAAACATACACATTCATACACTGTACAATTGGATAAGTAGTATCCTATGCTCATGATAAATTGTCTTTTTTCGTATCTGTTTCCATTCTTCCTTTTTACTGGATAATATCTCATAAACTTGCCTCCAGTCAACTAGGGTAATGATGATTCTTTATTTCAGGCTCTGCATAATTTTCATGATGTGGCTATGGTACTCACACTTTAAAAGATTTTCCAATTCTTTTTCAATACATTGCAATTATAACAATTCTATAAAATTATTTGGAGATTGTTATGTTAAAAGTCGGGTTCTACACTGAAGGAAATATTGTTCCTCAGGGGGTCACTGGGAATTTGGAGTCACATGGGAGGTGTCAGGAGAGGCCAAGGATGCTCTAAACATCCTGCAAGACTCAGGATACAGGCCACCACCGAGAACAGACTGGACCAGAATGTCGATAGTGTCGAGATTGAGAATTTCTGAGCTGAACAATATGTGTATTTTCATATTTATAGCTGTCTCTGTGTTGCTTTCCCAACATCGTAATAGTTCACATTTCTGCCAGCAAAATTAGAGAAACTTCCTTTGCTACCTATTTAAAAATTCCAACCTAGGTGGACAAGATGGTGGGGAAGTAGGAGGAGGCGCCTTTTCAACCTGTACCCTAAAGTGAGCTGATTACCTACCAAAGAACTCCAATCACCCATGAAATCAGCCTGAGATCAGAATTATACACATCTGGATCTCTACAGGGGCAGAAGATGCCAGTGGGCAGGTAAAGCAGAGTGGGAACTTTGGACTGATATCGGAAGATAAACAAAAGGGGGAGGGAGCCACCAGAGGTGACCGGTTAGAAAGTAATACGAGTGAGAGTGCCCTGCGTCTGGGGACCAGCATTAACTTGGAGACTGGTTGAAAGCACTCCAAAAGAGCAAAAGATCACGTGGGGAAAATTGTGGGAATCTGGGAGGCTAGGGACAGGGGCTTAAGTCCCCGGTCCCAGGACAGCCTCCCCTGGTGCTGAGCAAGAGACAGTGCGGTGGAGAAACCAGGTCTTGGTCCCTGAGCCACCAGCACGCCCGAGATTGCATGGGTTCTGGCCACTGTGAGGGGATGGGAGCCAGACCGGAGGGCAGAATTCGTGAGCCCTGCTACAGAGCCTGAAATGCATGTGCCCCTCATCCTCGCCTGAGAGAGGTACAAAGGCCCAGCCAGCGCTCTTTGACACACGCCATTGTTTCAGAGCCTAAGACGTGCGCCCCAAACTCTCCCCTGAGAGAGGTGTGCGAAGGCCCAGACTGGTGCTTTCAGACCTGCGTCCCGTTCTCAGAGCCTGAGACGCGCACACAACCCACAGCCTCCCCTGAAAAAGGTGCGCGCAAGCTGGGCGCTCTTAGACCCAGAAAGACCAGGCACTCCCAGCACGGGCCAGCGGGAAAATCTCAGGGTGCAATTGCTGTTTGGAACCTCTCTGTTGGTCTGGAGCTGACCAAACAGCTGCCACTGCTTTGGTTTTGGGTACAAGCAGAAGATCCTGTGTCCCCAGGGACCGTGACTCGGAACCTGCTCTGTCAGCGGCCAAGGGAGGATTTATATGGGCTCTGCAACACCCACAGAACAGACTGAGGCTTCTCTCTGAGAGGGAGGTCAGGGTGCAGTTTGCTTTCCTCTAAACCTACAAAAACCATCAAAAGCGGTCAAGGCGAGAGGAGAAAAGAAAAAAGGTGAACAAACATAAAAACCTCGACAGAATAAAAGTCTGAGAAAACTGGTTTCCTCAGAGCCCACCCCCTTGAGGGGGATTGGAGGACTTAACTCAGGGAACATCATTGACTGAAAACCCACGTGGCAGGCCCCTCCCCCAGAAAACCAACCAGGAAAGAAAAAAAAAAAAAAAGACTACAAGAGAACTACCACCACTACTTCATAGGACAACTTTTATTTTTAATTTGTTCCCACTATTCTGGCTCATTTTTTTTATATAGATAATTTTTTAACCTATTTACCATCACAGCGAACTCTCCAGTATATCAAATTCCATAATAACCTTCTAACTTAAACTTTTTGATACATACACCTGTGTTTTTCTTTTGCATTTCTATTTTTTGAATTTTTTTATTTTAGTTTAGTTTAGTCTAGTTTATTCCTTTTTTAATTTTATTTTCTAATATTCATATAGAGTTAAACTTCAAAGTAATCCCCTTTCCCCAATCAATACTACCCCTATAGGTAAACCAATTTTTAATCCCCCTTTAGCCTACAAAACTTGAGTCCTTTAATAAAGATATCAAGATACATCCAGGAAGAATCAAACAACCTTCCTCGAGCACATTGAGAATTTATAACCACTCTCCCATCTTTTTCTTCCACCAGTGTTTCTGTGTTTTTGCGTTTGTCCTGATAGTATATAAATCTTACACTTGGGGTTCTTTTCGACAAGGTTCTTCCTTTATTTGCATATATTTTTTTTCTCTTGTTATATACTTTTATCAGTCTTTTTGTTTGTCTGTTTTTGTTTGTATACCTCATAAATCTTACCTTGGGGCCTATTTGGGCTAAACCTTCTCTTTCATCTTCCTTTTCTTTCCTGTCATTCTCTCTCTCTCTCTCTCTCTCTCTTTTTCTTTTTCTTTTCGTTTTTCTCTCATTTGGGTGGGGAATCCTGATGGCTCAGAAGTGTTCCAGGGTGCACCCAGACTGCACCACGGTCGATACAACCACCTACATCTGTTCAGTCATCTCTCACCAAAATGACTAGGAGGAGGAATGCCCAACAGAAGAAAAATACAGAGGATTGACCTTCTGCAACAGAGCTAATAGCTATCAACATAGACAATATGTCGGAAAGAGAATTCAGGCTAACAATTATCCAGGCAATAGCTAGGTTGGAGAAAGCCATGGATGACCAAACGGAATTGATTAGGGCCGAGCTGAAAGCGACCAGACAGGATGTTCACAATGTTAGGGCAGAGCTAAAAGCTACCAGGGATGAGGTTCACAATGCTCTCAATGAATTCCAATCTAATCTAAATTCTCTCAAAGCTAGGGTAACTGAGACAGAAGATAGAATTAGTGATCTGGAGGACAAGCAGGGAGAAAGGATCAAGAGGAAGCCTGGAACAAACAGCTTAGAAACCTTGAAAACAGAATCAGGGAAATAAATGACACCATGAAACGTTCCAACGTCAGAATTACTGGAATCCATGAAGGGGAGGAGAAAGAAAGAAGACATAGTGGAACAAGTTCTTCATGAAAATTTTCCCAATCTCGCGAATGGAACCAGCGTTCATGTACTAGAGGCCGAATGGTCTCCACCCAAGATTATAGATTCCAGAAAAACATCAAGGCACCTGATAGTCAAATTGAGGAATCATAATGGTAGATATACTCTCTTGAAAGCCGCTAGGACAAAGAGGCTCCTTACTTACAGAGGAAAGCCCATCAGAATAACGTCAGACCTGTCCACACAGACCTGGCAAGCCAGAAAGAGCTGGCAAGATATATTCAGGGTACTAAAAGAGAAGAACATGCAGCCAAGAATACTTTATCGAGCAAGACTGACATTCAAAATGGATGGGAGAT